CCCCCCCCCCAATACCTGGCCACAGAGTCCTTTCAAAAATCCATTCAGAGCCCACTTGTTCTCGTTATCATGCACCCTTGCAACTATTAGTGAATTGTGTTATTACTGCCATTGTTATTGCTATATTTATTTATTCTTTTTGATGAGGCTTTTTTCCATATTGTTCTTTGCCAGTGTTTGTCTTGCTGTTAGCAGTGCTGTTACCACAAGACAGTTTTTCTTAGTACTGAAGCTTCAATTCTTGCTATTTCTACTTGCGGTCTCAAGTACTACTGCTACTTCTAAAGTTTTTTGATCAAGATTACTGGTATACTTGCTTCTCACAGTATCATTTCGGCTATCGTGACGATGATAAGGATAGAACAAGTGTCATAAGAAAAGTCATATTCAACAGGAATGTGGGACAAGTGGTCAGATTGATAGAAATAGGCAGAATGTGGGAGTGTCTTCGCTCATAAGAGAATATCAGGAACAATGCTAGTGATAATTCTGAAGCATTGACAGTATAAGATTGGCAACAGCCAAAACTGTAATGTGGTAGTTGTCTGAACAAGTATTAGTGGCTCACATTTTAGCTGTTGTCAATACCATCATTGCGCGTTTGTTGCATAGTATTATCTGTAAAACCATTGTAGTAGTGTTCTCTTTTTCAAAACTGCTAGGATTACTCTTACTATTGCAACCAGTATGAATTGTCACTTCTATTCCTATTATGCTATGATTATATATGATTTAAAGAGTCTCGCAGGGAGCGTCCTAGCAGGCTTCCTCAAATTTGGACACGTCCTCAAAATTCGGCTCGAAATTGAGCTTTCGCATTTTTTAAGACAAAATTGAGCTGCCGCGTAGAGCGTCCTCAAAATTTGGCTCGAAATTGAGCTCTTGCGTGGAGCTTTCTCATGTTTGACATCAAATTGAGCTCCTGCGCCGAGCATCGTCAAAATTCTGCTCGAAATTCACATCTCGCATGGAGTGCTTTCACATATTTGCTTACAGCGTGCCTAGGAATTTCGAAAAGAATAGTTGGAGAAAAACAGCAATTGATTCTGCATCCACTTCGTGTTGACTCGCGGACACGTCAGGCACAGACGTGGTTCCTTCTATTGACCTTCAGAACATGACGTCCTCTCCTTGGACCTTAACAAGATGCTTGACCGCTTGTGGCTGAGAGTGGATACATGAAGCACAGCCGCAGCACAGGAAGCGCACGCGAAAGCAAGCATTATGTGCTGTACCACTTTCTGAGGCGAGACGAACTTCTGAACATGGTAGATGAGGATCCAGACCTGCTGGCAGCTGCCCGGGCGCAGGTGCTGCAACTGCAGCATATCTTCTCCTTTTCGCTTTGTCTCTTGGAGAGATTGCAGCTCCGCAAGCATTGCAAGCCTGGCAGACATGTCACACATAGTTAATCATGAATTGCGCGAGGGCCTCGTTGACACGCAGACTCTGCGCGTCGTGCGCGTGGTCTCCGCAGATGTGTTGCGCCCTGCAGTAGAGGCGCAGAGCCTCCCATGACTGGGAAGTATGGTAGTCCAAGCCAGTCTTTGCAGCATTGTGAAATAGAATAATTACGATGTTCCCACAATTCGGCTAGAAAGGTCCACCCTCTCATCTTTGAGAAGTGTGTGCCTTATAGCTTTGAATGGCGAGAGAGCGGCACAGAGAGAGCGAGCCAGAGAGAGAGAGAGCAAGTACGAGGCCTCCCCCAAAGTGAGAGCCAAGAGGGGTGATTTTCACACTGACATAGGCTGGGCATTGATGCCCGGGGGGACCTGAGGTTCCCCCAGAGCCCTCATGAAAGCAAGAAAGAAGGAAAGAGCAAGTACGATCGGCGCCTGCAGAAACTTGGGAATAAGCCATTGTAGGTCTACATTATGTAGCACTGAACATACCTGCATCGGTCCTCCGGGTGCCGACCCTCGAACGAGGAGATCTTGTTGGGTGCAGGGCTGGGCTGTGGGGGGGTTGTAGTGCCCCCTTTCACCCGCAAAGAAAGAAAGAAAGAGCAAGGCAGTGGCCATTTTGGCTCAAGTCTCTGACCCTGCCCTCTCTTCGGGAGAGGGTTGTCAGGCGCCGGCCCCTTTCCGCCCTGGGGGGCTTCCCTGGGGGGGCGAGGGGTGGACGTGCGTCCTGAGGGGAGGGGCTTGAGCAGCATACCGCTGCCATTTGTCAGCCAAACTGAGTTACAGCGCGCCCCCCACGCAGAGTAAAATCTTGAGTTGGGAAAGTCCTCACATCAGGTAACAAAGGGAAGGTTGACTCTGTAAGCCCCTCTTGCGTGGAAGCTGGAACCTCGGTGCAACACTCACTTTAGGAAACGGAGTCCTTTGATCTCTTATAGGGAAAGCTGTGTTCTTGCAGGAACTTGCAGGCGGGAAAAGGTCTACCTTGCGTTCTTTGATCAGCCCTCTGCTTAGCTTAGGGAACAGAGTTTTGTGATTAAGAAAAAGGGAAGGAAATTCAGCCATGGCAACTCGCATCCGCTGTACACCACGTAGTGTGGGAACCGGAGAAGAAGCAGAGGAGGAAGAGGGACAGTTTTCGGAAAGGCCTTCATCCTCCAGCTCAAGACCTAACAAAGGTGAAGGTGTCTGCTTGGTCTGCGCACTGGGAGCGACTTTGGAACAGATGCAGAAAGCTGCACGTGGAGGCAGAAAAGGACACCACCGCCTTCTTCTGGAACTAGCACTACAAAGAAAGGATGAGGAACAAAAGACGGAGAAGGAACAAGCCAGGTCGAGGCCCTCTCAAAGGGAAGTGGTACAGACATCCAGCTCGAGCAGTACTACAAGTTCTTCGCCACGGAGAAAGACGGAAAAAAGGAAAAGAGGACAGCGAGAACTGACACATGGAAAGAAAAAGCCGCAAAGGGAGGAGGAAAAGAGTGCCTTGCAAGTAACTGCGACAGAAAAAGGGAAAGGGAATGGTAACCAGCTGGTGACCGCAGCTGGTGCTGACGGAACAAGACGAATCTCCAGATATGGTGGATGAGATTCTGGGGAGAACGACCAGCAGAAGACAAGCAAAGAAGGAGGTGCAGAACAAGGAGGAGAACTATGATGCCAGACCCAGCCAGAGTGGGAATACAAAACAGAAGGTTAAGCAGGCAACCGCAGAAAGGGAAACAAGGAAAGTGCCACCACCGCCCCAGCGCAAGAGTTGATGAAAGCAGAATAGATGAGGAGGCGGTTGCTAGACTGGAACCAGCCAGGCTAGAACGAATCCGGGAAGAGGCTGGAGAGACAAAGAAGAACGAGGACAACCCTGGCGCTACGAAGCTGACGGAAGACGGACGTGGCACTGCGCAGCTTACGGAAGAAAGCGGGAACAGAAGCCAGCCGCTAACCCGCTTGATGCCCAGGGAAGAATCGCCAGTGGGCGACGGAAGCACTACGGAGGTGGAAGATGAAAAGACAGACCAGAAGGAGGAGGCAAGTGCTGGACCGCAGGAACGACCCACGCAACCTTCTGAAGCCGGCAGGCCGTCGGAAGCTTGGCACAAGAATACCAGGCCGGCGGAGCCCCAGATACCGAAGAAGTGGAACATAGTGAACAAGGAGCCCGACTGGACAGGGAACGAGCACAACTCAAGCTCGACCAGTTGGCGTATCTGGCAGTGTGGATGAAAGAGGATGACGAAACAAGACGTTTCTGGGAGGGAAGACAGCCGGACCAAGAAGCAGATGCTGTCCGACTGGCGAGAGAAATGCATAAAACGGACCTGCAGCTTGGACAGGGTGCTACAGCACAATGTATAGCGAGCAGACTGACTGAATGGGGATATGAAGACCCCTTGGGAGTGCCGTCGCAGGAGAAAGCGCCTGAGACAACATACAAAGAGGCAAACCGATATCGTTGAGAGAAGTGACGCCAATCGAGACCAAGGTTTTCAACTTGACAGGGACACCGCACAAATTTTCAACTTGATAGGGATACAGTGCCACACCGTGACAAGGAAGTATATTGTGAGAAAGGGTAAGGAATGGGAGAAGAGAAGGAAGATTTAATTCAGCATGCCCCTGTGTCTGCTGAGAGCATAAGCCCCTCGGCGATGCAGATACTGATAGAGACCTACCGTGACCAATGCCAATTCGGGATGACTGCGATGCTGTGATAGGGAAATGTATACTTGGAATTTTGGTTCGCCAAGCTTGGGTTGAAATGTAACAGAGTCGTGGGAACAGGAAAATAGAAGTCGAAGACGACCTGGAATGCAGCAGTGTAGAGAGTTCGAGCAAATCGAGCCCTAACGCACGGAAATAGGGATGTGTACAAACAGTAATGTCAGATAGGAAAGCTAGATAGCGTTCACGATTTCTCCGCCAGAGCAATGAGAAGAAAGGGGCATGTGGAGATCCGAGGAGTGAGGTTCGGGAATACATGATCTCCACATGCTAACCTTTCCTCGGCTCCTTACCGACCATTTTCCCGGGATAGGGAAGGCGCACCGGATAGGGTCGGGTTGTTAGGGAAATTAGCGGGTTTCCGTGCAACGATCCGGTGAACGCTGAACCATCCCAGCAAGGAACCCTGGACATCAGGCTGGAGGTTCGCCTCCGCGACCCCTTCGGGTGTCGCATAGCCTGTAGAAGAAGAAGAGCAAGGCAGTGAGAAGAAGAAGAAGAAGAGCAAGGATGTTACAGTTCCTGTGGATCAGCTGATTCTGTGATAGGGGTTGATGGCTGGGAGGGGTTAGGGGAATCCAGAATTCGAAGATTTATGATTTGTTTCCCGCGTTCTGGCCTGAAATCGTCGCGGACAGCCTCCCAAGAAGGCTCTTTCACTTGGTCCCCGAAATTGCTTGGCTACCAAGCTGTTGAGCCTGCTTTCCGACAACATTTCCACAGCAGACTCTCAACTACGTTGCCTTGAATCCGCAGAACTTTAATGGGCATCATCATGCCGGAGAGGTAGCCAATACGACATGCTGGCCACGTGACAGGCGCACCACACCATAAACTGGGATGAGCGACTGCTGTCCATTTGCGATCAGCATGGGAAGGCAGGCCCTGTCAAAGCAACTTGGGTTTGAAGTGCTGTCAACCAGTCTGTGTGGACCCGAAGCACGACCTATACCCGATCCAGCAGCAAGAGCTGTTGCGATATGCCGGTATCATTATGTTGATTGAGCAGGTGCTCCAAGATGACCCATCTGACAAGACGGCGCAGGCCGACAATGCTCGGCAGTTTTCTGTGGCAAGCCCATAAGTTGCTTGGAGCTTTTGTGAGACCCTGCCGCGCAAACACGCACATGAATCCTGTCGGAGAGTAACCAAGTCAACCATGCGCATGTCTTACTTTGAGAGGTGAAGTTCAGGGGGAAGATCTGCGCCAGCGTGTGGCTACCGGTGGAATGCTTGGTGGACGAGGGCACAGATGAGCTGAACGACACCTTGCAGACCCCTTACCAGCCTCGAAAAATGGAGGTCCTAGCCTTACACAGCAGCAGAACCGGAAGCTGCCACCACCCTTGGTAGAACATCATTACAAAGAAAACATGCAAAATATGCTGACGGCACTACGACCTGCAAAGAAGCATCGCACGTCATGTTTGGGTCCAGCACTGGCAAAAGCAACCGCTTAGTTGAGGGAGATTTCCACGATTGCTGGCCACAAGCAGCACTTTGAGATGTCAGAAGCGGAATCATTGCAATATATTGCAATCCTTCGCTGCCTAGACTCCGGTGTTTTACCATAAGCCTACGGAGCAAGGCATCAAGCAGTGAGGCCAAGAGAAGCGCACAAACACCTGATTTCTCTTCTTCACTGGATGACGCTTGAGAATTGACATGACAAGACTGTGATTTGGGATTTGCCCTCTACATACCATGGACCATAGCATTCCCACGCTCCCCTTGCTGCGCAGTACACCTTGAGACTCGACTATCTAATCTAGGGTCAGAGGTGTCTTCATCCAATTTGTTGGGAACTTCTCATGGTGAAGGCGGCAGTAGGAGCTCCTTGCTCAACAGCCTCATACTAGTAGCAGCCCTTTTTTCGCAACGAGTTCAATGAGTCTTGCAGAGCCGGTCTGAGCAAGGAGTCAACTGGGTGCGATTTTCAGGGCCATGACTGTTCCCAATCCCACACCGCGGCTCTCAACCTGGCCTGCAAGGTTGCACCAGTGGATGTACTCCAAAAGGCTGTGGAGGAAAACAGCTGGATCAGCTGGAAGGTGGGCTTTTACCTGCCCAGCATTGTGTTCCGCGTGTTCTGATGTCACATGATGTCACATGTTTCTTACTTTCTCGACAGGTAGGCATGGCGGAGCTGGCAGGTCGCTTCGCTGTTGCTGTAGAGGACTTGCGGGACAAAGATCGTGTTCAACGGAATGGCATGGCATGGCATGGCGCTGGCCCAGAGCAGAAAGACTATTTCTAGAACAGGGAAGGCTTGCATTGACACATATAATAGTGCGTCATGGCATATCGCCACCTCCCAGGAGGAGAGATGTTATGAAGTGACGCGCGTGCAGTTTCCCGCGCCGATTAGTGCAGTTCTCGGGCAGACATGCTGTGCAGCAAGCAGGGCCTCAGCATTTCCGATGATCCGGCTTGGGTTTTCAGTTGTGAGCTTCAGCGTTTAGGGCTTAGGGCTCATCCCAGGATTGAGGGATCAAGGGTTCCGCGGGTTTAAGGATTTCGACGGGTTCAGGCCCTAAACCTTAGGTTTAGGGATTAGGTTCTCGGCTTTCAGGTCATAGGGCTTGCCAGAAGCGCCGACAGCGCGTGTTTTCAAGAACTCTGCTCGGGAATTGCAGCCAACAAGTAAGGCATTGCTAAGACATTCTGTCAGCTGCAGCAGTCTTTCAGCATAAGTTGTCTTGAAAAGGTCGCGGCTACTGGCTGCCAACGTGTGCTCTGCGAGAGGCCGATGGCAGCCGCCCAAGCGCCGTCGAACAGCTTCATGCATTTTGATGTCAATCTGCATTGCTATAGCAGCTTGCGCCTCGCCCCTCAGGTTCCATAGAGGACATGGACCTCAGGATAGGTTCAGAGGACTCGGAGTCTGATGACGACGACGATGACGATTTTGAGTTGGAGGAGGCACTCAGTTTGCTCGCAATCGTGTCAGAGCGACATGTGATATATTGCGGGATTCAGACGATCCTGGTCACAGTCGCAAGGAGATAAGATGTGCATGTCTTCCGGCTTGCTATTACTACTGTTGGGATTGCTGCTTTCTCCTGAATTCTGTGCGCATGTTGAATGTCGAGGAACGGAAAGTTTTGCGAATGGTGCGCATTCCGCCAGTGGTAGAGGATGTCAAAGCCGCCTTGGAGGCTGCACAGCCCGTTCCATCAACGTAGTTTGAACATTGCAGCACAATGAGCTGTGCTCCTGCAGGCGCACCCTCAACTCGATTGGCAGGCTGGGTATGCTGGGTCTGCTCCGACATTGCAAAATGTCGCATTTCAGAAGCTTCCGAAACCCTGCCCACAAATACACCCTCATGTAAAGGCACCTTAAGTTGAAAGAGCTGGTGGATAAATGTAGGCTGCATTTCGCCGACCGCAGGACCAGCTCGCATCCATTTGCGGGAAGGAGGTGGAGGTCGCATGTGGATAAAAGCTATACGTGATGCGCTTCCAGTCATCCATTTGAATGCAAAGGTTCTTGCAGACCTCCCGAATGACATCTCTATTCTCCGATACAATGGTTCGCAGCCATTGCTACCTACCCACATCCTTCAGGACAGAATCCATCATGCGTATTGTGCAGTTATTCCCTTACAGACTGCCGTCTGTCACCAGCATATGTGCATTTGTCACCATCAGGATTTCTAGCCCAACTAGCCGGCAGGCACAGCCTGACCATGCCTAGCCTAAATATGCTTGCATGATTTGTGGGTGCCAGAGCTGGGTTAGCAGCCTACTGCTGCATCAGAACCTGACATGCGTGCCATCATGCGACCAGTTGACATCACACACATCGAGTCGAAGTCGAGATAAGTCGAGTCTAGCAACATAGCACGGCTCTGGCCCAGGATGCTGCGTCTGAGGAGGCTTGGCTTTGGGCGGGCTTGAGCTGCCTGCCAAACACACAACGTCTGAGTGTGGTGTAGCCGAACTGACACGCTACACCGTGGCCCAAACTCCTCCCTGCCTGCATTGAGCTACTCGCGGAAGTGGCCCAAGTTTGGTGCAGGCAGCGAGCCTCACAGACGAAGGTGGCAGCCCGGGCCTCCAGACGTAGGAAGGCTCAAGCTTTTTGGGGTCTCACCAGTTGGTTTACTGCGATGCTCGAGGGGCGCTACCAGCAACACAGTCGGGTGCGCCATTCTTCCAAGCTCTGCAATGTTGCTGAGGTGCGAAAAGGCAGCGAACTGCTTGAATTTGCCGGGAGCGCTTCGCATCGGCTAGAAAAACTGGCTCTCAAAAGCACAAGCCCACCAGCACAGGATAGCCCGTCCATGTTCATTGTATTCTTCATCGTCAGCTACAAATAAGGCACACAATACAAGTGAAGACTGCTTGTTGGGCAAACCTCCAAACATCTCAAGTGCATCGTGATGGTGTGCGTCGGAGAAAAGAGCTGCGCTTCACACATTGGCTTGCAGCGCTTGATGTCGCATAGGTCGCAATGTCAGCAGCCCTTGCTTGAACCTGGCTGAGTGGAAGAAGTGCCACGCCAACGCGCGAACGAAATGATGGCCATAGCTGCGCGAAGGGTTGCTGCATCGCTGCTGTGCTGATACGGTTCGTGGGGCACGTATTGCCTTACCTCAGTCTTCGACGCGCGCGGGCCATCATACGATCTTAAGCCTGACGGGCAACAGGCATGCAAGTGCGGATGAGGGACATGGGTTGCTCATTGCCTTGCGTTTGTGTTTGGCATTGCCAGCACGTTCCCGCGCGACAATCAAGCTGCGCGAAAGACATGCCGGAGACTCGCGTTGCCTGTTGATAATCCTGTAGCTCAATTCTCCTTTGACAGTTGCACATTACGGCCTTCTCAGGGACCAGGCCAAATTAGGTGCTGTGTAGCAACCATTTCAGTTTGGGTCCTCCAGTGGTCCTCCTAATTATTCTGGTTGTGGCCTGTACTTCGTGGGGGGGCTATTAGATGATGCATAAATCCGTTCGACAAAGTTTGCTCTATTCCGTGACTGTAGTAATCAGAACTTCACGCCATGACTTGGAATAGGGGTAGCAAGGCCATTCGATTCGCAGATCGCAGCTTGGATGCCCCGGACAGTCTCAGAAGAATTTGTTGGCGTCAGGCTGCTTGGTCACCTGCAGCCATATGCTTTTGCAGGGGCGGTAGCAGGGAGATGTCGCTGGCCTGACAGGGTAGCAAGCCTGCAACAGGGAGGAAAGCATGGGTGGGCAGGCTCGCGCACATTTGACGAGCTGGATCCAACCTATATAAGTGGCGCTGCAAAGTCGTTTGAGTGCAGGCGCTCGAAGACCCAGACGCAACCTGCGCTCCGGACCCTGGTTCTTTTTCATGTCCTAATGGGTGTGAGGCCGGATAACACCAGTTTACGTTTCAATCCCTCGATCGCCCGCACTATCTTGAGAAAGCTGAAGTCATTTCTGCCACCCTCCTTTCAGGGCTTATACGGCGCGGGCACAGCCCTCTGAAACATGGTTTCCTCCGCACATGAAAGGATGCGGAAGCCCCGCGGAAGTGCTCATCGTGGAAGGGATTCGCAAAAGCTACAGTAAAGGCTTTGAAGCAGATCATACAAGGTGGTCAATGGCAAGCATATCACACAAGGTGATCCACGGTAGCCGGGTTTTGTTTGAGACCAGGGAAGAGCTTCTGGCTGTGTTCCGCTTAATTGAAGAGACTAACACTTTGTGCATGAAGACGACCACCACTGCCGCCGCCGCCGCCGCCGCCACCGCCGCCACAATGAGCACCAGCACCAGCACCAGCACCAGCAGCTGCAGCAGCAGCAGCAG